AACTCACAACCTTGTAATTGTGAGGGAGGCACAATGCCACTGACTTAAATCCCCAGCCCATGAAATTTTTAAAATACAGATTTTCACTAGGACTAATCCTGATGAGGAAGGCAAGGAAGAAAGAGGGTTATTGTAAGATTTACAGATAGCAATAGAGTGATGGTGATTCCAGACTTGTTCAGAATAGAAAGTGAGCAGTCAGGGACATGGGAGTGCTTGCCTGCTTCCTGGTTTTTTGTTGCAGGTGAGAGTGTCACATTTGCAGTCGGTCACTTTGGACCTCAGAAAAATGACCTAAATGGGCCAAAGGCCAGTGGTGTAAATTTGATAATTGCGCAAATTAAATAAAAATGCAGTTAAAAGTACTGAATGCAAAGCTTGTAGAAAACACCCAGTAGCCCGGTGGGTACCTGCAACCCCAGCACTCCAGCCATCTCGAGTTCCAGGCCAGTCTGGGTTACATAGTGTATTCAAGGCCAGCGTGAAGTACATAGAGAAACCCTGTCTCAAGAAACAAAAACACCTAGTAAAACTTAGCTCCTCCAGGCCCAGGGTTTAGCTCAGGGGTTTCTCTGCCTGCCTCGCAAGCACAAGGTCCTGAGTTTGATCCCCAGGTACAAAAAAATAAAACATAGCCGCTCCCCCGCACACCGACTGGGGATGGAATTCAGGGCTTTGTACATGCCAGGCAAGCACTCAACCCTTTTTTATTGTATTTTGAGACAAGGTCTCTCAATTCCTTAGGCTGGGTTCGAATTTGCGATGCTTCTGCCTCAGCCTGTTACAGGATACTCACACAGACACAGGATACCGAGGATATTATTTCCAAGAAGCAACTTTGTTCGAGCATGCTTGGTCTTACTAGGCCAATATCCAAAAGGCTGACCCCCAAACACAGTGGAATTTCACCTTTTACCCAATTCTTGTCTCCCCTATGTGATAACATACTATAGCCTGATCGGGTAGTTTACATAGCCCAGCAGTGTCAGAACTACATAGGAACTGATAGTGCCATGCCGCCTTCTCTCATCCTGAGGTCCTCACCACATTCCTCTGGGAGAAGCCCTACCACATCCCAAGTAGCTGGCATTAAGACTTGCGCCACCACGCCCAAGTGAAAGCTTTACCTAAACGCATATATGTTCGTTCGAATTTTTAAAAATTCTTATCTTATCCCTGCCAAGCCCCTTTATATGTTCGAATTTATGGCAGGAAATAAATGCTGGACCGACGAGGATGAAGAAATTTGAACGCTAATGTTAAGTCTCAGAGGATTTGCTGTCTCCGCGCCGTTGACACACTGTGTCCCAGCAGCAAGAGTCCCTAGAACTCTCGTTCGCCAGTCTTCCTGGGGCCTAGGCCGGCCGCGCTAACAACCCCTTGCAGGAGACTCCCCGAGGCTGAAAGGACGCGATCATTGCAGCAGGGGGAGCCAGACTCAACGGGTGACGCCACGTCTGCCAGAGCGCTAGAGCAGCCGGGAGAGGCGTGCCCGTAAGTGGGTCACTTCCGCCTTTCCTGGATCGGATTGGTCAGGACGCTCCGCTTCTCCTGATTGGCCAGACCTTCTACTATCCCAGGGTGCTTTGCGCCGTCGCTCCTCTCTGTTCGGCTGTTCTTCGGCGCAAGAAGTGAGTATACGTCCCTGTCGCCATCGGCCTCCATCCGCCTCCATCGGGCCCTCGCTGCTGCCCGCGCGGTCATAGAGGGCTCTCTTCTCTGTCTTAGAGGGCGCCGGGCTGGTGGGCGGGCTTGGAGTGCGCGCCCTCACTCGCCGTCCTCTCCCTCGCCACTATAGGTAGCTATGGCGCCCAGCCGGAATGGCATGATTCTGAAGCCCCACTTCCACAAAGACTGGCAGCGGCGCGTGGCTACATGGTTCAACCAGCCGGCTCGGAAGATCCGCAGGTGCGCGGCGGGCAGAAGGGCATCTGGGTGGGGACGGGCCACTGCGGTGTGGGAACCAGGTGACTGCCGCGCTTCTCTCTGACCAGGCGCAAGGCCCGGCAGGCAAAAGCGCGCCGCATCGCCCCGCGACCCGCGTCAGGACCCATCCGGCCCATCGTGCGCTGCCCCACGGTGCGATACCACACCAAGGTCCGAGCTGGCAGGGGCTTCAGTCTGGAGGAGCTGCGGGTGAGTGAGCCGCGCGCCTCCGACAGACTGCGGGGCCGGTTGGGTCTCAGTGAAATGATGACAATTCTCCGGAATCGCTGCACTGCTTTGATGAAAGCACATTTGAACCCTTTTCCATCTGAGCACTGAGGGGTCTTGATGGGGCCTGCCCGGGAGGGGCTCCCTGGGCCTCATCCGTGTCTGTCGGGCAGGTGGCTGGTATTCACAAGAAGGTAGCCCGGACCATTGGCATCTCGGTGGACCCGAGGAGGCGGAACAAGTCCACCGAGTCCCTGCAGGCCAATGTGCAGCGCCTGAAGGAGTACCGCTCCAAACTCATCCTCTTCCCCAGGAAGCCCTCGGCCCCCAAGAAGGGAGACAGCTCTGTGAGTGCAGCGCTCTTCCCCATCGGGAGGTTGCCCCACCCCACCCCCGGGAGGAAGGATGCTTCCTGTAGCCTTAGTGCTGTGAGCCGTGGTCGCCAAGACCAGATCTGTCAGCCATCAGTCCTGCCTGTGAGAGCTGTGAAGAAGCCCTGCTGAGCTGTTTTGTGTCCTGGGGACTGGGCTGTGTCCCATCTGGGCTACCTGTGGGTTGGTGGGGCGTGGCTTTGTTCACCCTCAGCGGGGTTCTTTGACGGGACAGGAAAAGTATCTGCCTGTTCCCTGTTTTATCAGCAAGACAATAGAATTGCAGTGCTGCACAGGGAGGGAGCCCACAGAAAGCTTGCTGTGTGTGAGCTGTTGGGGTGCAGGACACCCAGCACTACCTCTGAGGAGCATGAGGTCCTCAGGAAGGTGAATGAAGCCCCACTCATTGTACTCTCCCCTCCCCATTAATGCGCAGGCGGAAGAACTCAAATTGGCCACTCAGCTGACGGGACCTGTGATGCCCATCCGGAACGTAAGTGGACACCGTGCTTACTTGTATTTTACATTACACTTTAGATATGTTGGTGCTGGATGTTAGCAAACTTGATTAATCTGATAGGCACAGATGTGGTGGCTAAGATTTGTAGGTTGCAGGGAGCAAGGTCCTTTTAGCCTTTGAAAGAGCCTCCCTGCATTCTTAACAGCTACACCCTTGAAGATAGCCTGGTTCCCTCTTTCAGAAGTTTCAGTGACCTCATTTGTCACTCATTCTGTTGTCTCCCTTATTGCTGTTTGAAAGCTCAGGCCACAGGCAGCCCACTGGGGACACTGGAAACTGTGGCCTGCCCAGCGAGTGGTTGTACACCAGAGTGACTCCGCCTCTGTGTGTCCCACAGCAGCACCTGTCTTCTTGGTGCCCCTGAACATATTCTTTCTGGAAGGCCTGCTAACCAACTCAGGTGCTTGTGGGGTGTTTTTGTTTATCCTTTTGTTTTTTGTGGGTGTTTTTTGTTTTGTTTTTTGGGGGTACTGGGTATCGAACTCAGGTCCTTGTACTTTCGAGGCAGGCACCGGAACCACTGAGCTAAATCACTGGCCCCTTTTGTGGGTTTTTTTGTTTTTGTTTTTGTTTTGTTTTTGTTTTTTGAAACAGGGTCTCACTATGTAGTTGAGACTGAGCTGGAACTCACTTTGTAGCCCAGGCTGGTCTCAAACTCACAGTGATCCTCCTGCCTCAGCCTCCCCAGTGCTGGGATTACAGGCCTGCGCCACCACTCACAGCTCGTTTTCCTTTTGTGACAGGGTCTTGCTACAAAGTTCAGCCAAGCCTTGAACTCAAAACCATCCTGCCTACTCAAACTCAGTGATCCTCCTGCCTCAGCCTCCCCAGTGCTGGGATTACAGGCCTGCGCCACCACTCACAGCTCGTTTTCCTTTTGTGACAGGGTCTTGCTACAAAGTTCAGCCAAGCCTTGAACTCAAAACCATCCTGCCTCAGCTTCCAGGCGCTGGGATTAAGATATGCATCATCACACCTGTCTTCTGAGTTACTCAGGGGTGGTGGCGCATGCTTATAATGCCAGCATTCACAAAGCTGAGGCAGGAGAATCACTGAATTCAAGGCCGGTCTGAACTACACAGCAAGAGCCTGTCTCAAAAAAATAAAAGTATCTTTAAATTTTTGTTTTGTTTTGCTTTTTGGTACTGGGGATTGAACTCAGGTCCTTGTGCTTGTGAGGCAGAGAGCAGCACCACCGAGCAAAATCCCCAGCCCCTCTTTTAAAATTTTTGTTAGTGCCTGTTAGGAGTTTCTAATGGTATTGTGGGGAATTGGTACATGTACATAATTTCAATTGTTTTTACATAAAAATTGTTCCTTACATAGTTTCTGTGTATGATTACTGTAAGCAAGAAGTCAGAATTCGAGGGCCAGCTAATTTATCGGCACTCCAGGAGCCCTGAGGCAGCATCTCTTAGTCACCTGACCTAACTCCTGTCATCCCTCGTAGGTCTACAAGAAGGAGAAGGCCAGGGTCATCACAGAGGAGGAGAAGAACTTCAAGGCATTTGCCAGTTTGCGCATGGCCCGTGCCAACGCCCGGCTCTTTGGGATCCGGGCAAAGAGAGCCAAGGAAGCTGCAGAGCAGGATGTTGAGAAGAAGAAATAAAAGCACTGTTGGGGTCTTGTAATAAATGCTCAGAAAAGCTACAGCTGCACCTGGGCCCTGCCTCTAAGCGGCTTGGCGCATGGCTAAGACTGCTAGCTGGAGTTGGGTTTGGAAATGTCAGGTGTGCATTGCGTTTGAGGACTATTAGTGATAAAGAAGGGATTAAATTTTCAGGATCTGCCGGTGACCCTTAGGGAGAGTTGATGTGACGTTTAAGTGCTAGTGGCCAAACCTGGCCCCTCACATCTGCTAGGTGCACTGCCACACAGCTGGGGCCATCCAGCCTCAGTGGCTTTCATCCTGATCTTCACCTGGGGCCTTCTGTGTCCCATACTGTTGTGTGAGGCTGGCCTTGGGCTGACCCTGCAGCCCTGTGAAGCTGCTCCTGTCCCACAGCCAGCTGGCAGTCAGGGTGATAGACATGCTGAAAGTGAATTCTTGTGTCCTGGTTCCCTACTTTGCCTGCACATTTGGAAATTGCTCTGCCAAGTTACACAGGTTTCAGGGGATGAACCTACATTTGTACCTGACCTAGATCTGGCTGTTGTTAAGGGACACTTGGCTTCCTCTGCGTGTTCCCGTAGTAATTGGAAACCCCTGAAGAGGTTAGCCTGGCCCAGCTTCCCACAGCACAGGGCTAGGACAGAGCCCCTGCAGAGAAAATCATCAGGACTGGTGGAACCCGTACTTCAGGTAGGGAGCTGCTGCCACAGGTTGCTTCATTCCCATAGGAAACTGGGGTGCTAGAGCCTGGCAGGGACCCTCAGGACGGTACAGCAGCAGGGTCAGGCTGCTGTCCTGCACTCTTAACTCTTCACACCTGCCCAATGGGTTGGAACTGCCCTCTACCTGGGGCTGACCCTGTGCCTGCCAGAGACCCCTGAGCTGTTCGTTGGGGACCTAACCTAAACCTCTGGGAGATGTCCCCAGCCTAGGCCAGCTCTGGCCCTGTGAGAGAAGTAGGTTGTGGTGGCCACATGATCCAGAGCAAGTCCCAGATGTGCCACAAAGACGCATCCTGCTGCTCATGAAGGGCACTGCTGCAGTGCTCACCCCTCATTTCAACAGAACAAGGCTGGGCCCAGTGTTAACACGGTAATCCCGGCACTCAGGCTGAGCCAAGATGATGGAAAATCGGGGCACAGCTTGGGTGACAGTAAATCCCTGTCTCAGGGTTGAGGGTGCAACTCTGCAAAGGTTGGCCTCCCGCCTGAAGAGTAGTTGCAACCTTGCAGTGCAAATCTGTGATCGCCAGGAAGCAGCAAGTGTGTGCTCTGCCAGGTTGGCACAGGGAGTCTGCACAGTGTTCCCAGGGACAAGCTGAGTCTATGTTCTCACTACAAAGGACAATGGTGCCAACAGTTCCCTCAGCAGCTACCAAGGAGTGAGGCCTTTTGCAAGGTTTCAGAACTTTACTTAACCCCTTGGTTCTGGTGATTACATCCAAGGTCTTTGTGCTCAGTTACAGCCCTAGCCATTTTATTGGGGGATGTTGGGATAGTCTTACTAAATTGCCCAGTGTTGGCTTGAAGTTGAGCTTTTCCTGCCTCAACCAGCCACACTACTGGGATCACGGGAGTGCGCCCCTTCCCTGGCCATTTTCTAGGTGTTGGCCAGTTTTCAACACCATGGAAGAGGGCTGGGAGTGAGGCTCCAGAAGAGTGCCTGGCATGTGTGCACCTTGGGTTTTGATCCCCAGCACTGCCAAGAAAAAGTGATCCCAGAAGCACGTCCCACTTTGCAGGAGAAAGGTGTAATACAGAGCACCTCTGCATTCCAAACCCTGAGGCAGGCCAGTGGAGCTTTTGTAAAAATGGGTGGGACCATGATAAGACCTGTGCGTGTGTGCCCTGGTCCTGGGCCTGTGACAAGATGTTTGTTTTGCAGTCTGAGCAGAATGTCGCTGCCTTCAGGCTGGTTTCTTCCTGAGCTGGCCTGGTGCATCTCCCGCCTCTCAGCCAGGGCACTCTTGGTCCCCACACTGCTTGGGATTTTAACCATTCTCTCAAATTGTAGTAGCTTTTCATAGATCAGCCACTTAGCACTCCAATGACTTAAATACAACATGACCAAAAATTGCATATTTCTCACTTTTTATGAACTAACAGGAAATATAGAAATTACAATTTTAAATATATTCAATACAAGAATTGACTGGCTAGCCAGGTGCAGTGGTACACACCTGTGATCCTAGCTCTTAGGAGGCTGAGGCAGGAGGATCCCTTGAGTTCGAGGCCAGTCTGAACTTCATAGCAAGACCCTGTCTCAAAAGCAAGCAAAAGGATCCACTAGTTGAAATGACAGCTGCCCAAGTAATGCTTGGGAGAGCAGGATGTAAATATGCTTTCCAAGTGACACTGAACAAATGGTTAAGGAAATTTTATGTCAACTTAAGTCATAAGTTTACTTCTTTCATTTCCCTTTTGAATTTGTCCGGGAGTCCCTTGGGGTGGAGGGCTGCGAGGCCATGGCTTCAGCTCTGTACTGTTGGTAGTCACCTGGCTCCCATTCTTACAGGACTGCAGAAGAGCCCTGACCTTCATGGAAGATGACAAGTGGCTCCATGCTTAATCCAATCCCTGACCCTAACAGTCGCTGCCTGCACCCCAGATTCCCTGCATAACCCTACCCTAACCACTAAGGCAAATCCAGGTGGGAGCCTAACCTCTGCTCAAAGCCTAATTCCACCCCTAATACTAACCCCAGCTCCAACCTTAAACCTAACACCAAGCCCAACCCAACCCTTACCCCAACTCTAGCCCAAACCCTAGCCCTAATGCCAGCCTTAATCCCGACCCCAGCCCAGGCTCCACCAGCTGCACACACTGTTACAGGGCCCGGACCATCCTTGCCAGGGTGCCTGGTTCTGGGCCCCACAGTCTCCTCACCTGTGCTCTGTCAGCAGGATCTGTTCTCATCACTTAGGACAGGAGCTGGGTCACATGGTGCTGTCACCCATATAGGGCACTCCACCTCTGCCATCTCAGCACTGAGGAGTGCTGGCCTGGCCTGTAAAGGAAAGACTGATGGTGTGCAGGGTGTGCACAAGTTACAATATGCTTGTGGACACACATGCTGCAGGGTGGAGGTACAGGCTGGTGAGGAGAGCATGGTGGTTGGAGTCCGCCCCATCCCTGGTACACAGCTGTGAGCAGCCTGCTGTCCATAGGTGACAGAAGACTCAGGTGTCCCCACCTACACTGGGCTGACCTGCTGAGCATAGCACCTGGCCCAGCCACTGGGGTACATGTCACCTCTCGGGCTTCTGAAGTCATCGATAATGGCCATAGGAAGCCCGGCAGACCTGGGTTGAGGAAGGCCACGCTGCACAACCAACCTGACCCAGCCCAGGGCCCCAGGAGCACCCTGCAAGTTCTGGGGACCTGGCTGCAGGTCCCAGCGTCTGTTCCGGCTGCTGCTGTGTGGGACTTGCCAACCCTCCTCCATATAGGCCTTGGTTCCACATCTTGCCCCTGCTTTGTGCTGGGGTCACACCACACAGCCCCAGCTGCTCAGGAGGAGAAGGAAATGAGGCTGGCAATAATCAGGCAGGACATCAGGGACCACAGCTGGGTCTGGGGCTCCTGCCCGGAATCCTGCAGATGCCCTATGCAGGGGGGGCACCGTTCTTGCTGCCACTGCTGCCCCAGGGCTGGTCCCTGACTCTGCCCCAGCCTGACAGTGCCACAGTCGCTGATGCTGCCCGGGCACCCTCTGCCCACGCCAGGACCCCAAGGATCGCCTCTGTGGTGCACGCTGGCACCCACCTCAGGCTCTCGCTGGGCTGCTGGCCCACAAAGCAGTCTCTGCCACTGGCCTGGAGAGGGAGCCTGGAGCAGAGATGGTGAGGAAGGAAGTGGTTGCTGCCAGCTGCTGCGGTGTGGAGCCATCTGTTAACAGCAAGCACCAACACACACCCACAGTTGCTGTTCCACAGTGGGGACATGAGTAGAATTCTGAGTGAGCCCATCCCTCTGGACCTCAGGTCTGTGGACACAGAGGGGACAGCATGCAGGAGTGAACACAGAGGGCATGGGTAGAAGGGCAGACGTGGGACAGTGGTCAGGAGTCTGCCCAAGCCTGGGGCCCTGGACAGCCAGTGTCCTGTGTGAGTGCAGAGGGCGCCCACCAGCATCACCTTTGGAGGGCTGGGTGTCCTGCCCACAGTATCTGTCCTCTGTGTGTACCCCTGGCAGTCAGCGTGCATGGTCTGGAGACAGCTAAGCCCTTGATGCCAACTTGGGCCCTAGTCAGGCCCTGCCCCTGCTGTGTGGCTTCAGGCACAGCTGCTGTGGCCCTCTAGATGCCCGCATCCTGGACATTTGTGGAGGGGACACAGGAGGCCCAGAGAATGGAGGACGGGCAGGGGCTGAGTGCAGAAGAACCCCCAGGTGCCCAGGAGAGGAAACACTTCTTGGAGGGGAGGATGCAGAGGGTGACCAGGGCTGCGGCTGGGGTCTGCCTGGGGCTGGCGTCTCCGGGAGTGCATGCAGGTCCGGTCCATGTGCGTGCACGTGCGTGTGCCTGGCTGTGTCTGTGTGAGGTGCACACTGCTCTACTTCTAGCCCACACTATGTGGGGACAAGCACCTGTCGCCCATCTGCAGGTGTCTGAGGCTTCGATGAGGGGTCCTGCATGAGCCGACAGTCCCAGTCAGTGTGGTACCTCTGGACATGGTGTTTTGTTTTCGGCAGTACCAGGGATCAAACTCAGGACCTTGCACTTGCCAGTCAGGTGCGTCACCATTGAGCCTAATCCCCGGCCCATGACATGGAGTTTCTAAAGCCAGACATGCTTCGGACCCACAGGAGAACAGCTCCCAACAGTTTCAGATATTCAGAGGTAACAAAGGAGGAGTTTGTCTGCAGCCAGGATATAAAAAGCAGCACCACCAGATGTGTGTAGACCCACTGCTCCCTTTTTAACAATCCCTCCCCCCGCCGTTTCTTGTTTGTTGTTGTTTGTTTGTTTGTTTTTTGTTTTTTTGAGACAGGGTCTCACTGTGTAGTTGAGACTGACCCGGAACTCACTATGTAGCCCAGGTTGGTCTCGAACTCACAGTGATCCTCCTGCCTCAGCCTCCTGAGTGCTGGGATTACAGGTGTGCACCACCACATCCGGCTTGTTTGTTTTTGAGATAGGGTCTCTGTCTGTAGTTCAGGCTGGCCTTGAACTCACTATGTAGCCCAGGTTGGACTTGAACTTGAAATAATCCTCCTGCCTCAGCCTCCTGAATGCTAGGATCATAGAGGTACACTGTTAATCCTGGTTCACTGCTCCTTTTTAAAAATCCAGTTAAAACTGGGTGTGGTGGCACACACCTGTAAACCCAGTACTGTGGGAGGCTGAGGCAGGAGAATCACAAATTCAAACCCAGCCTGTGGCAATTTAGTGAGCCCTGTCTTAAAGTAAGAATTAAAAAGGGTTGGGCCTGGGGGCTGGGGATTTAGCTCAGTGGTGCCGCTGCATGCCTTGCAAACCCCAGGTCCTGAGTTTGATCTCTGGTACCAAAAAAAAAAAAAAAAATGTTGGGGCCTGGCATGGTGGTGCAGGCTGGTGCAGGCTGTGGGAACTGGACATCCAAATCTCTGGCTTGTACCCCAGGCAGTGGGAGACCCTCTGCTGACCTCTGGCTGACCTGCAGGTCTCCTTGCAGACTGTGCAGGTGGGTTGGGACTGACTGCCTGGTGTCTGCTGCCTTACACATTGGCTGGGAGCTGTCCTGGTCTTGGTGCAAGTTCTCTGCTGGTGGTGCCCAAAGCAGGGACAGTGGGTCCCCCGGAGGTTGTGGGCCCAGAGCCCAGATCGGGATGTTGGGTGGTGGGGTGGACAAGGAGGGCTTTGAAGGCTATGCACGCAGAGGCACAGTGGCTTGAAAACAAGCTCGCTGAGTCCAGGGTGCCATCAGGCTGCACAGAGCAGCAGGCAAGGATGTGTCCTTTTCATTCCAAAGCCAATAGCTTGGAAGGAAAGGCCTGTCTGACCAGGGCAAGGATAATGGTTTTGACCCGCTGGTCCACCAGGGAAACCCTCTGGGGCTTCCAGCTGATGCAAGGGTCCCAGCAGGGAGACAGGAAGCCGTCCCTCACACAGCAGCCACAGACAGGCACAAGGCTTTGGTGCAGATACGTAATAGGTCCCGGCTGTGCTGAGGTCCCCCAGGGTCTGGTGCCTGTTTGCAAGGAAAAACCTTGAGGGACAAATGTAGCAGGGCTGGAATTTTACTTGCTGGGCTTCGCTTTCTAATATTTCAGCACTAATGTGTGCTATCATTTCCTGTACAACAAAAACAGCATAAGCGCAGACAGATCTCATTTCCTGTGTCTGGCCGGGCAGCACAGTGTGGGGATAGGAGCAGTGCAGTTGGTCCTGGGCTCCGACCCAGCCAGGCTGGGCGGTGGGGTGGACTGGAGCCCTCAGGCAGGCAGCTCGGGGAGGGGCTAGGTCCCTGCGGTCCCTGCAGCTTCTGGGTTGGCGCCTTGGCAGTGGCGGGGGCCGTGGCAGTAGTGGTGGGTCAGGTGTGAGGCTGCAGATGGCGCCCAGAGTGTGTATTAGGGCTTGAAGTCCTAAGCTCTTTGACTTTCCCAGCTTTGGGTTATTTTGGTCCTGGGAATTGAACCCAGTGGTTTATACAGAGCTACATCCCGAGCCCTTTTTTATGTTTTTATTGAGAGACAGGGTCGCACTGGCCCTGAATTTGTGACTCTCCTGCCTCAGGCTCCCAGAGTGCTGGGATCACAGGTGTGCACCCTCACGCCCAGCTCTTCTTGACTTTCCTCTCCTGCGAGGGGCCTGGGTGCTTCATGCTGAGGGCTGGGGATGCTGGAGTTGAGCCTCCTCAGGTCCCTGGGTGACCCGGTCCAGGTGGTTGTGAACGGGGGGTGCACGGCACCACCCGGTACCAGCACTTGACCCTGCGATGCGAGGCAGGGTCAAGTGGCCAGGAGCCAGCTGGCGGTCCTGGGGCCCCCTGTGTGCCTGTGTATCCTCGCTCATCTGTTCTTCTCCAGGGAGGCGCCGAGGGCTCAGGAGGCTGAGCCTGCCACCCCCACACCGGTCCCGACGAGGACGGCCCGCTCTGAGCGAAGCCCCGCCCTCCCCCGAGCACTTGACCCTGCGATGCGAGGCAGGGTCAAGTGGCCAGGAGCCAGCTGGCGGTCCTGGGGCCCCCTGTGTGCCTGTGTATCCTCGCTCATCTGTTCTTCTCCAGGGAGGCGCCGAGGGCTCAGGAGGCTGAGCCTGCCACCCCCACACCGGTCCCGACGAGGACGGCCCGCTCTGAGCGAAGCCCCGCCCTCCCCCGTCCCCCG